CAGTGTCATAGTTATGATAACCAATATTAAAGAACGTGGACGAGTATGTTCAAAGATTTTTATTATTTTATTATTTTGTATGACTCATTTCTGTTTTTCAGGTTAAATGTGATATGTATTGGCCAGTAGAAGGAACCGAAGTTTATGGAACTATTCAAGTTACACTTTTAACAACAATAACATTAGCTTACTATGTCAAAAGAATATTTGCCATTCGATGTAAAGCAAATCGAAAGGTAACGAACATATTATCTGTTGTCTCATCTTTCAATTCATTTTCTCTACAAGTACTCTTGTTAGCAGCGAGATCCTTGTTTGTTTCAACAGTAATGACACTAATCTATCGTATATGTTTAGTAATGGTTACTTTATTACGAAAAATAAGACTTCTTATCGAATTCTTGTTAGAAGTAAACTTAAGATCTGTTTGAAGTTGAAAATCTTCATGCAAAGTTTCTTTTTATTGTATATTCTTCTTATCTTGTCAATTAGAACAGAAGTATTATTTTAATTTTAGCGTGTGACTTACGAACGTTTAGTTTACCACTTTCACTATACAAATTGGCCTGATCATGGCGTTCCTGTTTTTGTTCTTCCCGCATTGTCTTTTATTCGAAAATCATCACAAGCCAATCCGGATGATGCGCCGATCGTCGTTCATTGCAGGTTTGTTTTCAATTATGTAAAGTGACAAGTTAATCCCTATTGTATCAATTATTTTCTTTTTTTTAGCGCCGGTGTTGGACGTACGGGAACATACATCGTGATCGATACTATGTTAAAAAAACTAAAAGAACAACGTTCAATTAACATTCCATCATTTCTTAAACAAATTCGTCAACAGCGAAATTTTCTTGTACAAACGGAAGAACAGTTTATATTTATTTATGATGTGTTAGTCGAAGCCATAAATGAATTCAATTTTTCTTCGAATGGTCTAAATGATATTGAATTAAATGAGTATAATTTTGATTATTCAATACAAATGTTAGATTATTTTGATAATGATTCAAATTTAACAAGATTAGATAAACAATTTAATTGTATAATAAATACTAAAATAAAAGATTACTATTTATCGGCTGGACAAGCCGAAACAAATTTATTAAAAAATCGCACACAAGCAATTCTACCAATAAATCCAACACGAGTTATATTAACAAAAAAAGCAAATGTTTTAAATGGTGCTGAATATATCAATGCTACATTTCTTCATGTAAGTCAATTTAATATATGATTTTAATGTATCAAAAATTTGTTTGTCTAAATTTGATCTAAGCTAGATTAAGAAGCTGATTTTCAATTGATGCAATGTAGACTGAATTTAGTATTTAATCATGATGATTTTATCCTTTAGGGTTGTTATCGTCCAGATGAATATATCGTTACCCAACATCCGTTAATAAATACTCTAACGGATTTCTGGCAAATGATTTGGGATACAAATTGTTCATTAATTGTTTCACTTTATGGTGATGAGAAAACACAAGTATGTTTTATTTCTTTTGTTTGTACTTTTTATTATGTATTAAAAAAGTTAAGCGTCCGATTGTCTTTTAGCCGGATGTTCCATCGTATTGGCCAATTCCCAATCAAATAATGGATTGTGGAAGTTTTAGCGTTTGTTTAATTGATGAAACGTTTGAATGCGATTATGTTTATAGAGATTTTCTCTTACAATCAACTGAAGTAAGTCTTAATCAAACATCTGATTATTTGTATCTAACTGTATAATTTCCTATTTTAACAGGAAGATTATGAATTACGTGTAAAACAGGTTGTTAGTTCTTATTGGCCAGATGCTTGTAGTCCAATAATAGTTTCGTTTACTCTTATACATAATATACGAAAATTGAGAATATTAAATACAAACGGTCCGATAGTCGTGCATGATCTATTTGGTGGTCATAGAGCGGCTACGTTTTGTGCATTGTATACAATGAATGAACAAATAGAAGTTGAAGGATCGTTGAATGTTTATGAATTAGCAAAATTATATCACATCAAACGTCCAGCTATTTGGAGACACAGTGTACGTAGTTTATCTTTGTATTTCTTCTTTATTTTCTTATGTTCTCAATTTTCTACTTCATCGATTGGATTCACTCGATTAATGTCTCAACCTTTTTTTGCTTTTTAGGGCGATTTATTTTATCTCTATCGTTGTGCTGAAATATTGCTTAAAGATTATAGAATCAGTACAAATCCTTCTAACAATCAAACAATGACATCTTATCGTTATCATAATTACCATAGCAATAGTTTATACTCTAATCAAAATCAAAATAATAATAATCATCGTTATCAACCTTATCAATACGCAAATCATGTTCATTTTCCAACTGCACAAAATTACATTCACGTTGTCGATTCATCGGCACAATCCTCTTCGTCACAGCCACCCACTACTGCCATCATCACAAATGCCCAATCAAAAATTACAAATGTGGCTCAGTCTGTGATGGGTTCATTTTCAAAACGTCGACAGAAATCTCGTAGTTATCGTCCACAAACATTAAAAAAGATTCTCTTTCTTAATAATGAATCACCTTTGTAAATAATCAGTATAACATTGCCATTTTTAACCTCAATGTTTTATTTTATGTTATTTTTACGCAATTTTTTTCTATTATGGTAGCTATTTTAAACCTTTAACGAGTTCAGATAAAAAATGTGAGTCTGATTTTTTCAAAACCACTGTTGTACAGTGGTATAGCAAAAAAATTTCCAAGGATGAAGCATGCAAGCGGAAATGTTTTTTTTTCAGACATTTCAAGAGCTAGTAGGAGGGCAGGGTTTCTCTAGGTGCTTTTGTAATTCTACGCAATTTCATTGTAGTATCTCTTTTTCCATTTATTTGTAATGATACTAGGAGATTGATTTGTGTCAGACACATATTTCTCTTTTCTTACCATGACATAACTTTCTTGTCTTTTGTAACGGTTGTGTGTGTGTGTGCGTGTGTATGTGTGTGTATATTTTAAAACAACAGTGTGATAAAATATTTATCAAATCTCTTCTATTGTGCTATAGTAGATGTCTTTTTATTGAACAACACAATTTTTACTGTCAGATACATATATGTGTAATAGTTGTAGTACTTTGAACATGTTTATTTCTGTCTGAATGAATATGTAGCTCTAGCTTTTTTTTTTGCTTGTTTGTTTTTCGTGTACATTCAAAACAAAGAAGGAAACATATATGATATTCGCATGAAATTTTTATATAATTGAATGATAAATTGATCTCATTCTTTTCTTCCGTTTTTTTTAAAATTTTATTCTCAAAACTTCTGAATATTATAGTCTACTGGTTTTGTGTATGTGCAGTTCATCACTTTAGTCAGCTTGTTACATTAATCTTTCTATGTTATGTAATAAAGAAAATAAAACATGTGAACACTAATGTTTCTCATGATTGACGGCTGGTACGTACCTTTCATCTGCTAAGATAGTTTGTTGAAGTTGAACAGGTCTATACTTACAATCACGAAGGATTATTAAAATAATTACGAAATCAAATAAGTAGATTAATTGTTCTTATCAGTTATCATGTTTGAGAATACTTTTTTATATCTAAATCTGTTGAATAAGTGGTCAGTCCAAAATATGTTTTGATACGTGTGTGGTATGCTATGAAAGTATGAAATACATGCACTCGTAGTAGAAACAAATTATCCTGAGATATTTCTGTTGAGATAGAATAGATAGATATTTTGCTGAAAAGATACATGTGGCCGCATGTATTATACGATGGCTGAATCCACCATTGTATTGAATGTAGATCAAGAGTACTCCTATGCAAGGAGATTTTGTCTGTTAGTTAAAAAAATAGTTTTAGCAATATGAATTGGAATAATAATCTAATTTAATCGACGGAATGAAGTTTTGCGTAACTGGTTAGCAGTTCATCGTAGCATCTTCTACGAGCAAGAATATTTTCAGATTTATTATCTTCTTCTATCTAATTTGAGGCGAATATGACTTCTGACTTCGTCACATGTACATCCCGGAAAAATACCGTTATATAAATGCTCACTATCCTTGATATAATAGTCTTTTTTGCACAAATCAACTTCTTAATTTGATTTTGAATATCTTATTGGCCAACAAGTATACTGATGAACTGGATCACAATTGTCTGTTAAACCTACCAGTCTCATTTTGAAATTTTGTTTAAGTTCAAAATCTTTTAACAATAGATTTGGATATTCATGTATATTTTGATCATTAAACAGTAAAACTTGTGTCGAAGAGGGAATAGAATATTTTGACCACAGTTTCATTTATAAATCACAGATTGTTGGTGGCTGTAATGTTTTAATTGATATCTCGTACATATCATTAGCAAATTCGATCTGAGTTTTAAGATAACTCCATGTTGATATTGCCGTTTTATCCTCCAATCTAAGATGACTATCATGTCCAATACAAAGACCAACAAGTTTACAATCGGGACAAAGAAAAATATTTCCATTTTCAAATAGAATTCGCTAATTTTCCTAGTTGTTTTTCGAGAATGTACCATCAGATCACAAACAGAATAATAATCGTATTCGTTTTTGTGATATATAGTTATTTTTTGTTTTACATTAAGAGAATGAAAATGCAAATCCAACGGAAATTCACCATTTTGACAGTGTTTTGAAATATTGATCGTACAACATATTTTTTTGCTTGTCAGTGATTTATTGAACTAAAAATTGAAGGATTAAAGTATCTTTGTATGGGTGAATGAGAAAAAAATCACAAAGATAACTTGTGTTACTGTAGTAACGTTTTTATTTAGATATTTGCCAATTAGAACGTTAGAAAAGCTGATCAAAATAGAATAATGAGAAAGTGTTTTATCTATTTTTCGTTAGGAAATATCAAGAAAAGCATTAGTTATGTTAAAACTGTTGTACACAATAATCTTTATCCACAATATTATGAAATAGATATTCTTATTTTAAAATTAATTTGTATTATGCTTTATTGTTTAGTTTTACAATTTTTTAGATGAAATTGAGTATTCCTACTGTGTGGGGAGGACAACTATCCGCAAAATTGTTTAAAACAAATGACTCATCGTCAAATTGTCTAACAACAAAAATTATTGGTGTTCATGGATGGTTAGATAATTTGAATAGTTTATTACCTTTAGTCGAAAAATTGAAAAAACAAAGTAAATTTAATAAAGAGCATAAAATATATATTCAAGAAATATTTATCTTTCTATCGTGTTTAGATTACGAGATATGTTTGTACGATCGTGCTGGACACGGATATTCTTCACATTTGCCAAAAGCTATAGAATATGATATTGGAAATAATATGAGAGATTTACGAACCGTTGTACAAAGTAAGTTTAAATAAAATCTTTTATTTCAATGTATTTTTGTCTTTCTCATTTGAAAAGACCTTGGATGGTCAGGTGAAAAATTTATTTTTATTGGTCATAGCTATGGTGCAATATTGGCACTCACTGTAAGAATATTAATTTTTTTACCTAATAATTGACAATTTAATATTATTTTATTATTTTTATTTAGTATGCAGCTATATATCGTGATGAAGTTCAATGTGTTGTCGCTATTGATGCATTACCTTCCATTACTTTACGTTCAACTGAAGATTCCAATTGGGCAAGTGTTTCGAAAAGAATTGATCAAAATATAGAATATTACAATCACCCACCAAAAGTTTACGATACTCAACTAACATTTGACAAAGCATTCCAAGTGTATGTCAAGAACAACAATAACAGTGATGAAATTCTAAATTTTTCATTTTTGTTTAGAGTAAAAAGTATGCGACTGGGTATATCAGATGAAGCTGCAAAATTACTAACGGAACGATCAATCAAAACTGATGCTGGTGAATAATTAAATATATTTATTTGACGCTTTTTTAACACTTACTGATGTACAGTTAGTTGTCTTTTTTTTTTTATTTTTGCTTAAAGATGGAAATATCCATCTTACAAGAGATAAATCATTAAATTTGGTGAGCATACATTTGTTTTTAATTACTTTCATCTGTAGAATCATATTTTCAGCGCCCGATGATACCTTTTCATGGAGAATCGATTATTCAAGCTTTAAAACGAATTAATGTACCAATTTTATATATCCAGTATGTACTACTTAAAGAGTAAACAAATTTTTTTCTGTATCATGAATATATTTTGATTCAGAGCTACTCAGGCTCAATGGCCCGAACCAAAAGAAAGCATTCAGTTATTGAAACAATGTAATCCAAATGTAAGTAATCTATTGAAAACAAATTGGGTCAATTAATTATTATTTTTTGACTATTTTAATTCTAGTTTGAAATGGAGAAAATTGATGGACCGCATCATCTACATATGACACACGTCGATCGTGTTTCAGAATCCGTAGAAAAGTTTATTCATAAATATGTAAATAGAACAGAAGAAACAGCAAAATTATGATATCAAATTGTTTTTTATATTTTTTCATTTTCAATTTTTAATATAAATTTTTATGTTGAATTTTTTATACCTAGTACGGTAAAAATAGCTGGTATCGAGATTACTCAAAAGAAAATTTTATATAACGCTGTGAGAAATAAACTAAGATAAAAATAGTATTCGATAATTTGTTAAAGAGAATGTCGAAAAATATAGTTTTATTCAATTGAACTACAGATTCGGCTTTCGAAAAAATTAGATTTGTTCTTTCGTTTTTCAAAAATGTTTTGTGACATAATTTCACAAAAATTCTTGAATTCTTATAAATTTGCTGTCAACTGTGAAAAAACAAAATTTCTTACTACATTTTCAAATTCTGGAAATACAACGAAGTGCGTTTTTTGCCGAAATGATGACTAACACAAACAAAATCAAATCTCGTTTCTATATATTTGATAGTAGTAGCGGCATAAGATTTTATTATAAAAAACGCTAAAACTAGAACATTGTAGGTATTTCAGTGCACCTATAATTCTTTGGGTGAAATTTCAACAAAACTGATCTCGTTAGATATACTTACTTCCCTTGTATTCTAAAGCATTGGATAACTAATTTTATTTTTAAATATTTTCAAATCCGTTTTTATTTTTAGTCGTTTAAATGTTTTTCAACTCCATCTTTTTCTTTGTAACTTTATTTCACTGTTTCCAGTAAGCTCACTACCATCAACTACTAAATATTAGAATCTATGAGCCAGTTAAGATGGTTACTTCTTTGAGGTCTAAAAGACGAAGAAAGTTAGGGAAAACTAGGAGCCTATTGAGTGTTTTACGGTGCTATCGGTTGAAAAACAGTCTTTTTATTAGAGAAATAACTTAACATTACACATAAGTCAGTCTTTTATCTGTACTACTAGTAAGTCAATGCGTCACTTGAGATCACGTTTAGAGTCAACATATAAAATTTTTATGAAGCGATCCACTTCATTGTCAATTTAGCGTTTGCCACTTGACTTTGTGTCTTTCTTTTTCAAACTACGTTTGTTTATTATTGTTATTTTTCAAAAAGAATTACGCTAAAACACGTCTGAGACTATATCTTACAGGGTAGTGAAACACAATTTTTTCAATAGCGTTAAAATTAATTTTTGAAGCTCTACATGTTTGGTTGTCAAGAACGGCTCAAAGATAAACGCGTTCAAGGTTATAAAATAGCTTGTTTTATACAAGTTTGAAATACAATGTAAATCAATATATTGATTTACAATGTATTTCAAACTATATATAGAAGTTCCAACGGAATGTAATTATTTTACATCTAGTGCAGTTTCTTCAAAATGCAATTTATACGAACTACAAATTGTTGGCGTTTATTTCTATTTTTTTATGCATATGACACCACACGTGCAATTCGTTTAAACTGCATTTTGAAGAAACTACACTAAATGTAAAACAATTACATTCCGTTGGAACTTCTATATATAGTTTGAAATACAATGTAAATCAATAGTTTGTTTTATAACCTTGAACGCGTTTATCTTTGAGCCGTTCTTGACAACCAAACATGTAGAGCTTCAAAAATTAATTTTAACGCCATTAAAAAAAATTGTTTCACTATGTTGTAAGATGTATTGTCAGATGTGTTTTGGTGTAATTCTTTTTGAAAAATAACAGTAATAAACAAACACAGTTTGAAAAAGAAAGACACAAAAACGGTAACGAAAGTATTAGAAAACAGAATGGAAGACGACTCCTCAGCATTCTTTTTTTTCTATCCCTCCATAGTCATTTAGCATGAGCAGATAAATGTTACTTTCAGCTTTAGCTTTGTTACGATTTAGACTATGGAAGACGATTTGGATCTTCTAGATCAATGAGCAGATAGAAATATGTTATTATGACTATTTAGAATGGCTTGATCATAACAGCATATACAAAGCCGGATGTTCCAGAAATAGCGAGTGAGTTGCAAAGGACTGATTGCATTTTATACATGGCGTAGTTTTCTACGTGGGCGTTTCTAACTTTTTAAAAGATACGTTATTTGATTCTCTACCAAAAATCATCAATATCTACCTAAGTACTGAGAAAACATCAAACACCGCTCAGTGCGTCCCGGTCGTCAATTCACTGATCGATATACCTAGAAAACCTTGGCACGGTAGCACCTATCGGTGCTAAAATGTGAAAGTCATAATTATAGCGCTATAGAATAAATCAGCTTACTTTTGTACGATCAAGTAAAGCATCTTTTCAGTTCGTGTAAAGATATGAACCAAAATAACTAGTATTCGCCTGGTTTTTGAGTATAAACTGAAACTTTCTCTACGTTATAAGACGGGAGGAGTTTCACAAAACATTGCTTATGAATTGACTGATATTTGCTTTGGGTTGAACTTGGTGCATGTAGATGTATTGAGCTATACATCGAACAATGTAGCTAGATAATACGATGCTTCCTCTAATGAAGGTACCTGATTATTTGCAGAGTACTTGCGAAGCACTTGACGAGTTTCTCACTTAGTAAGTACTTGAAAAAGAACGTAGCAAGTATTTTTACTTCTCAAGTTCTTGTCTAAGTACTCACCAAGTTGCATCACTTGATTCGCTTCGGAAAGTACATGGACGAATCAATCACTCTTTTGTTTTGCCTTGACCAGTTGCACATAAACGTCACAATATCAATCAGTATAAACTTAGGAAATAAATTCAGATATTTCTACTGAGTTGAACAAACTTGGTAGACATGCATGTGTCTGCTCTATGAAAGTAGAGTATGGCTGCGGAATACATATAAAATACAAATGGAATAAGTATTTAGCTAAAGTTTTTCAAGTAAATTTACTTGCATTGAGTCCAAGTGTTTAGACAAGTACTTGAAAAGTAAAATGACTCGCGGAAAATCACCAGGAACTAGCTTCATTACTTGTACCAAGCACTTTTGCAAGTACTTGGCTTTAAGTACATTCACTAAGGTCACGTAGAGTATCTACATACAAGGGTAAAAGATATCAATGGATGTGCCAGCTAAAGCATCCCGTAAACTACGTGTGGTGTGGACAGCATATAATAATCTTACAAAAAAACCTTATTTAGAAATACTAAGACATTTTTTGGACTGTTTTCCATATGAAAGAAATATAGCTTCAATAAGGGGAACAATAAGGAGGTATATTCATTTTCTCAAGAACGAATCAATCTTTTTTGAACCCTCTGTGTAACTTCTTTTCTACAGACATGATGGTCAGAAAGAAGCAAAAGAAATTACTTTATCTTCTATCTCCTAGGACTAGATAGGTTTGCCAGACGTACAGGGAGCACTTTGACGGTTCTACTCGTGTTTCACAAAATCTGAACCCATTTTAGCTTTGAAAAATGCCGAAGTTGGTTTTTATATGTAGTTTTTTATTATGAATTCGAAAATAGTAGTTTGGAAATTTTAGAAAACAAAAAACATGAAAACTTTGCTTAAATTTTGAAAATTCAGCCATTTTTGTCTATTTTAAAAAATCAATTTTTTCGTAGAAAAATCACTAACAAATTTCAAATTGACTTTTTCCCAGGAAACACGGTGAGGTCTGACCTACCAGACCAAAAATAATTATGCTCTGTTTTGGAATTACCGGCAACTTACTTTTCTTTTAATGTTTCCTACCATGTCTCTTTAATTTGTGATTTCTTTCGTATGTATCTGTATTAGATAATTTTACCTCTGAACCGTTCAGCCGGATAGTGCTTTTCAGAATATTTCATTGATGATAAACTTATGTAATAGAGAAAATTTCTTGAACTTCTTGAAAAATGAAAAGATTCACATAGAGTTGGTCAAAAATGCTGTTTTTCTTAATTCGACCATATTGCTAGTTAAAAAAATGTCTATTCAATTTAGATATTTATTTACATTTTGTCACATTGATCCAAACATCTATCTTACTGGGCGTTTAACTAATTCTAGACGTTGCTCCCTCTATCGCTATTCGAGTTACACTTTTTAGGAATGACCGCTTCTGTTCATTTTGTTATTAAATATACTTTATATTAATATTAAAATTATTTTAAATATCATTTTTAGTTATTAAAGTGCTTTCATGACTTAAAAAATGTCAACCAATGAATGAAAACACTACCGAGTCCGTGAAAAAAGCCATAGCCCAAATGTGAATCTTCTATTTAGTTACACTTGTTTAGCTCTTTTTATGCGATTTTATCAAAAAAATGTTTCCGGCTTCTGATTATTACTATCACAGACGTATTATTATTTTTAGAATGTGAAAATAATCTTTTAACTCACGCTATTTTTTTTCTTTTATTTTATCCACATTATTAAGGAAGGTAAGACCTTCGAAGTCCTACGGACAATTAAATCGATTTGGTAATTACGTCTGTTCTACCCTTCTGTTATTTAGTCCCATCCACTAACAATGTCGTCGGCATCAGATAGTATGATGCCATCAAATCCTGCTGAAATATCGGCCGAACTATTTCGATTACAATCCGAGTTAGAGACCGCTCAGACAAACAATCAACAAGCGGCTGCATTAGGTTTAGCCGTGATGGAGGAACGTAAACAAATTCAACTACAGTATCAAGAATTAGAATCAGAACATGAAATTATGAAATCTGAACTAGAAACATTGAAACTAAAATTGAAGAATTTTCAAGTAAACAAACGAGAGGAAACATTAAAAGGCGTATCGAACGAAGAGACACTTTTACATGAAAAACAAATGCGTGAAGATCATCTATTGAAAGAAATATCTAAAATCGAAAATGAACTACGTTTAACAAAACAAGATAATCAACGTATTAATAATGAATATGAAAAACTTTTATTGAATATTCAAGAATTGAGTGAGAAAAATCATCAATTAGACGATCATAAAATAAAATTAAAACATGAATTAAAAGATTCCAAGGCACATGAACAACGTTTGTTAGATGCTAATACAGAACTTGAAGACGATAACATTGGGTTACAACAGCAAGCGGCTAAATTAAGAGAAAATTTAATTGATTATGATGGAATGAAACATGAAAATAAGAGATTGCAAGAAGAAGTATGTTGATGACAGTTAAGACAAGGAAATTAAACAATCCTAAGAATACAGAGTGTGGAGGTGCCAGAATGAGAGTTGCAAGACAGCAGTGAAAAGATTTAACTAAGTAGTATCCCTCGCGTTTCTGACTTAGCTCCTGGATCCTCACCAACGCTGAAACCTGATACCAATGGGAAAATATTCATTTTAATACAAATGTATTACCGGATAATATGTTCGAGAGACTTAAGAAGCTAACCGATACCTGAAAATTTGAGCTTGCATTGTGCTACTCAACGTTCAGTTAGTTCCTGAATGGATGAAACCTCCACCACTTTCAAAAGTTTTTTTCCAAACTCGGCGGAGCATATTTGTTGTGAAAAATAAAGAAACATGTAGGAAACTTTAAGTGTCAAGATCAGGTTTTTTTCAACAGATACTACTTGTTCAAGAATGGTTTTTTCTTTTATATTTTCTATTTCAGGTTGATGATTTACATTCTCAAATCGATGAACTAGTTAGTTTAAGACGTATTGCTGAAAAACAATTAGAAGATATTCATTCAAGTTTGAGAGAAGAAAGAGAACAAAAACATTTATATAAAAAACAGCTTGAACACAAAATTCAACAAGTAGGATTAGAAAAGTAATGTAATTGAACTTCTTGTATGGACTATTGATCTTTTTTTTTTGTAGGAATCTCGTCGTAATTTGGATACTTTAGCTGCTGGTTTAAGAATGGGTGTTTCTAATGGTCGAAGTCAAGATAATATTGATCTAAATGGTAGCGATGTCGATGTGGATGATGAAGATGATAATATTGATTCAACAACATCGGAATATGTTCGCATTGAAAATGATATAATCAACGAAGAACAACCAGTTGGAAATTTGTTTAATGAAGTACATGGCAATGAAATTAAAAAATTAGAATTAGAATGTAATCAATTATTAGAAACAAAAACAAGAATTGAACAAGAATTATCCGATATCAGTGATAAAGCAAAGTTATTAACAAAAAAAATATATTATTTATCACAAAATATTCAACAACAACAAAATATGAATAAAACAGATTATGAACAAGATGAAAATGATGCAAAATCGATGTTGAATAATGCTATGGCATATTTTGATAATATTGAAAAAGTGTTAAATAAACATAATAGTGATCATGATTCACTAAAAAAGAAATCAGATGAACAAGAACATAATATAAGTAAATTGAAACAAGATTTGAATGTTATGATGAAACAATGTAATGATATACAAGCAATGTTGAATAAAACACACGATGATATGGTAAGTAGAAAAGTGGACTGTCGATGCTTGGTGTATGTAATAAAAATATAGCTGTTGAATAGATCTTTCGTAAAATTTGAATTAAGAATACTGTATTCAATATTTTTTAGTCAATTCTATTATTTGAAGAGTTCCGTTTACTTTTTTAGAACCATTTTCATGAAACTTTTATCTCTATATGTGTAGATATCGTGCATTCGGTCCAAATGTACGTTTTTCCGAAAAAATGTTTAACCTTTTATTAACTAAATGATCAAGACGTTTGCTAAGATGAAATTATTTTTCTATAGAGATTAATAGTTAGTAGAATTCGATTTTGCTTTGGTCTTCGACTGTATGATACTACTGTTCGTACAATTTATTTATTATTTGACTATCTTCTTATTATAGATTTGTGTTAGTGAAGAATTAGACTCGTTAAATCAACAATTATGTACTGCCAATGCTTTACCAATCGAAGATAATGCTATTAAACAGCTAATACGCAGTCATAAATCCGACAGTATCAATAATAATAAGATAATTGATCCGTTTATATGTCAAAAATTATTGGAAACAATAAATGAACAAATGAAACAGTTAAAACAGACTATTGATAAAACGTCAGGTATGAAACAAATAGCACAACCAGCAATAATAAATGGTGATAGTACTCAAACAACATCATTAATACCGACTGCAACAACAACTGTAGTGACCAATGAATTACCAAATGATACAAGAGAACTACAGGATCAGGTAAGCGTTTTAGTTTTTTATTGAAAAATATTTGCTACAATATAGTTTTGCTCTTTTATTTAGATAATAAAACTGCGTAGTTTATTAACTACAAAACGTGAGCAAATAGCCACTTTACGTACAGTGTTAAAAGCCAATAAACAAACAGCTGAAGTTGCTCTGGCAAATTTAAAATCAAAATATGAAAATGAAAAATTAATTGTCACAGAAACAATGTCAAAATTAAGAAATGAATTAAAATCTCTAAAAGAAGATGCTGCCACATTTGCTTCATTACGCGCCATGTTTGCTGCACGTTGTGATGAATATGTAACACAGCTAGATGAACTACAACGACAAGTTCATGCAGCTGAGGAAGAAAAAAAAACATTAAATTCATTACTAAGAATGGCTATACAACAAAAATTAGCGTTAACACAAAAATTAGAAGATCTAGAAATGGATAATGAACGTGCGCATAATTCTGTTAGACGAAGCAATGGTACACATAGTCATCATCTCAGTCATTCATCTTCAACCACAACACCAACGCTACCATTATCACCACCATCTTCCGCAGTATCAACTCCAATATTAGGCAGTTCATCAATGATAAATACAAATTCACTGAATAATGGAAATAGTTCATTATTAAATGGTGGAACAACAGAAACAAGAACTGGTAGAGGTGGTGGAAGATTTATTCCTCCAAGAGTAAGTTTTTTAATTTTATCACCCGCCAATTTGTTATAACACAAAAGCATTTTTGACTTCTGCTTTTTTGATATCGTTTGAGTGAGAAAATTTAGATTCTTATTTGTCCAACAAACTTATTTTATTTAAACTGCGTCTGGAATTTTGTACTATTAACAAGTGATCAATTACGCTGACAAACAGAATCATATTAAAACCAGATTTATTAGAAATATATATTTGACAACTGGTCTCAGACTTTTCTCTCTAACAAGCGCTAATTATGATAGAATAACTTCCGTTCTCCGTGATATGTGTTAACGAAGATTGATCAATTCTTCAGTAATAAGTGCTTCACTACTATCAGTCTCAGAGACAAAATTATTTAATCGAGAAAAGAAGAAAAAAAAATATTTTGTTTTTTATTAATTATTGTGTTTTGCTTTTTCTTTATCTTGCCCATTTCTCACTGGTGATATCTTTTTTTTTGAATTACTAAAATTTACTGTCAAAAACAAAACATCAATACTTCTAATTCTGTTTAGATGATGCAGGCATTAGCAAGAAATCAAAACAAACGATAGAAAGAAAGGAGAATGTAAATACTGCATACACATTTACATATACACATACAGTATAGGTTTTTGAATAACAATGCTTACCGAAGGAGGAGATTACAGTAACATCATAACTTCTGCACGGCATGTTATGAAACTGCATGCTAAAACATTTAGAACAACCATTTTCTTCAGTAAATAAATCTTTCTCTTTAGAAAAGACGTATCTAATACGACAACAATACGTACACTTTCGTAGATGTACAGGAGCGTAGAAAAATTAAATGTAAAATTTATATTGCTGGCGTTGACGTGAATTATTATAGCAATTGTGAGGAGGAATCATTGTCTATCAAATGTTCGTTTTTCTTTTTTACAATGCTTGCATGTTTCTATTTCTACTAACCACGTGTATGTTTTATTTTCTTTTAATTCTTGACCAATTCTTCTTGATACAACTACATCTTCCATGCACAATTCCTGCCGCTGAGTCTAATCATTAATAACTTTTCCGTATAGTATATCTTGCTTATTGTTAATGCAAAATGATTGTAAATATTCTCTTGCTCATAGCTCTCTGATTTTCAAAGAGTATTGCATGAAAAAAATACTATTATCCAAGAATCGTTTGTACAAAACAACTTGTGCTTTAACTTTGGCAATTATGCTTGAGCCCTTTTAAAGCTGTTCTTCTTTGTACTTGCAATAATAAAATATCAATTAATGAAATATTTTGTATCGTTTAGGTTCGACAATATCACAAATCATTCTCATCGGCCTCTTCCTCATCCAAATGGTACTAATCATGTCTTCTCTTTTGTTTGTTCATTTTATGTTAATTTGTTTTCGATCAAAAGATTAAGCTAGAATACTAACGTTGTCCAAAATTTATCGTGTGCTTTTATCGTGATATTTTTTGCACTAAGGCATTTGTGTTGTTCTTTTCTCTCGTTGTTTTCGTTTTCTTGTCAATAGTTCATTCCACCTTTCCACGCAATTTGTTAGTGTTTTAGAAACGATAAATTCAAACTTTGTCCTCTCTCACACATTCCGTTTTTTTCTTTTATCAATTTAACAGATCTATATATACATTTCATTCATAGAAATTTTAGTTTGTTTTTATTTCTCATTCATTAGTAGTACGCGCTTTTGTTTGTTTTTAATAATGCGTTCAAACAGTTGCGTTATTTGTTTTTTAACTTGTTGTTATGTTGCTTTTTGTTCAGATTCGATACATTTTTAACTATTTACTGTATAATATTTTGGTACATACTCAGTCATTATACATATATGCATATATTTTAATATAAAAAAGAAATCTTTCTCTATTTGTGAGTGTGTGTGTAAAAACCGTTTTATTAGCTTTTTTTCTTTTTTTTTCTCAGTTTTTTGTACACAAACTTTGAAAGCTATAAAAGACATGATGGACTAGAAGTTCATGTTACTTTAGCTCACTTATACACACAGTTAAGCTTTGTCATAGCTCTAATATCAACTTGCTTGAAAAGAACATAAACTTCACTGCTATACTCGTGTATTTATCATAAGAAAGGGTAAGTTGATGACTAAAATTCACAAGCAAACGTGATTAGAGTCTATGACTCATAAATGACGAAAGGATCTTCTTTAAAAACCTTGTCAGTACAGCCTCTTGTGGAGGCTAAAATGATGAAACGCCTTAACATTAGTCGAAAGATGACGTTGGGAATAGTATATACTGGTATAGAAGTTCTTACTTTCTTACGGACGTTGAGAACAGTGAGGATAGATGAGTGTGTGCTCTTGTTCTGAATTATTCGCCTTTAGGAAATATGTGGTGCCACTTAGAGTTTTGTTTAAAACACGATTTGAAATGGTATGACAAAATGTAACAATATAATGTTACAAAATATATTTCGACTGCTTCCACTAGTCTTCTTCAGTCGTGTTGTAAGTGTGTGATCAATACAGTGGCGAAATGGTCTTATATAAGTCTAGAAGACAATGGAACGATGGTTATCGTTTTTTCTCCTTGCCAGTAAATATGTGAACTACTATGGTAAAACAGGAAAAACTTGTAGATAGATAAAAATCTGTAATTATAATGATGAATACCTCGCAGTGTTAAGAATTTAACCTGCAATCGGTTTGTGCTTACTTTTAAAAAAACAAGTATTCGACAAAAGCACAATGTCTCGCACAAGCAAACTACTAAAGTATATCGTTTTGAGTGAAGCTGCTTTTACGTGTGCATCACTTGTAAACTACTTGATAAAAAATATATTGTTTTTCGTTTTCATCCTGTTCTTTGCGCCCCAGCTTTAGGTATTAACGGATGGGATTGAAGAAACCGACCTCTCAGTATTTCCTAATTTTACTTTTTTTCGAAAAGATCCGCCATTTTTTTCTATAATGGGGTCAAGTATAGTTTTTGTCCAAAAACATCACGAAAAAAATGTTTATTATTTAGTAAAAAAATGTGAAATAAAGTGAAAAATCCCTAGTTACCATTATCATTTATCTCAGCACAGATAAAAGTGCCGCATCATCTCTCTATATTACAATATTAATATAACGTAGCAGTGCTTTACTTCTTAAAAGTGAAAGGAGTTTCACCATTTTAGCCCCGAGGGGGGCTGCTCTGACAAGACTTTTTTTGTACTTTTAATAATTTTAAAATTTTTCAATAATTTTCGGCACCATTCAACGTAATTGTTCTGATCTAAACGTATAAGAACATCAAAATATGTTCAACTTGAACTACGTGATATGTCACAAAATTGAACAAACAAATTAAACCGAGCAGACAAAGCCACAGTCATATACAGATGAATAAATATATGATGATATTAACAGTAAAATAAAATTCAAACTCTACAAGCATACTGTTAGTTAGACTATCTAGTTTATAAATTGGACATATTATTGATGCAAATATGCTGAATGAGACAAATGATCGACACACGTTTCATTGCACTAAACATAAATCATCATCATGCATTAATGCTTCCACTGGCTTGAATAACAAATCTTGATTAATCATTTTATTTAATAACAGTATTAGATAATAATTATTCATCAATCGAATTAGTCATTACCCTGATTCACTATTGTACCGTTATTACAATAGAACAATCAGATAATCAATAGCCGATTAACACCTGTAATCTTTCATGGAAATGCTTTTTAATTTATTCAATTAGCGTAATAAAAATGTTAAAACATCCTTATCATTGAAGCAGTGAGCAACGCGTTTGCATTGCTATGCATACTTGTAATAGCGCTCAAGTATACTTTTAATAACTTTAAAATTTTCTAATAATTTTCGGCATCATCTGACATAATTGTTCTGATAAGAACATCAAAATACGTTCAACTCGGACTATGTGGTATATCACAAAAATTGAACAAACTGAAAAGCAAATGTTCATAAAGCTCGAAAACAATTTAATCGATTACATCATCTTAGAAGCATACGAAAAAGTTGATGGTTTCTGTGAGATGACGAAGGGACTCTTAAACTTTTTTGTCGACC